TAGACCATGTGCCGCCATCGTATAACCTATACATATACCACAACAAAGGAAATGAAAACCAACAAAAACCTGAAGGGGCAAAACTCGCAAAGACCTGTTGTTGTGGTGTTTCTAAATGCCTTAAACATGATGATGCCCTACAACGAACCGTAATTAATTCAGCCGCTTTGAACCGACCTTTCCTTCCTGGGAAATCCCAGCCTGGGCGAGTCATAAATTTCACATGCCCTTATAATTAAGATATTGGATACCTCGTGTCATTCCACAACCATTCACACATCATTTAATACCCAGGCATCCAGAAAACTTTTGATCCACTATGTAACTTGTTTGTCTGCTGTCTAGCTTACTCTGGCCGTGTACTTTCCTTGCTCGCAGGTACACAGTTCTTTGTGGATTGCCGCTATTCACCATACGCCTCACTATCCTGATCATGATTCCTCCAGCAGATAATGCGCAAGCTCACGCACCATGCACGCAAGTAGGCCATGTTTTCCTCTTCAATCAGAAACTAAGAAAAAAAAAGGCATGCACGTGTTCCATTATGGGAACTGCTGGCCCCCCCCCCCCCCCCTGGGGGGGGTTGTTTTGCGGTGGGAGGGGGCTTTCACATGTACCTAGAGAGTCCTAGGACGACCTACATGTATTTTAGCCATAGAGGTACCATTTTCCTGCTGCAGACATTCTCAGTGGAACAAATTTTGCATGGACCACCACAGGCTTATTGTACATGGTGGTATCACATTGGTTTGTTTGGTGATTACCTGCACTTTTAGATGAAGGAATTCACGAGGAGCATCGACTGCTCCAATTTTCTTCTTCTGCTATCGACAATAAATAATTTCAGGTCTTTCTTAGAGTGTCGGTAAAGGCTTTCCATACGTTGGCCCCAACTAAAGAGACCCTCCCCACTCCGATTTGCTCGTGAACTCTATCAAAACGTGAAACCTGCGTTCATCTGGTTCGGAGAACTTTGGTGGATATGCCTCCCCTACTTTTTCTGGAGTCCGAGTGTGAGACCCAGTTTTACGGGAACTTATCCCGTTGGTATGAAGGTTCTCCATCAAACCAGTACAAGGCATCGTCCTGGTGTCACCGTCTCCTTTTTTTGAGAAAAAGGGACTCTATCTATGGTGGCAAACCGATAAATGTCACGACGCGTTTGCACTAAATGATTGGCTAACCGAGCGGTCTGAATGGACGGCAGGTGCCCCACACCCACAGCCCTCCGCACAGCAACTTCAGCAGAAAAACAGGCGGGCCACTACTACCCAAGTAACTACCACACTCCAGACCCAGAGACCTCTCGCCCCCCTCCCCCTAGGCCGCTAGCTAGCTAGGTCTACTAGCTAGCTCTCCTAGAAAAACTTATCACGTGACGTGGTTTCTATGAACGTTGAACGGCCTTTTCCATGCCGCTTGTGAGAGAGGCCTTGCGCCGGCCAGGTACGATTCTGTGTGCTGCTGTTATCTTCTCCTGATGTCTTTTTTCATATAGGTTGCGGCCCCCCGGTGTGTGGGTGCAAGATGTACGGTCGAGAGTGGAGGCCGGTTGACTAAGCCAGCCCTCAGCATGCGGCTCCAGATGGTCCCGGGACATATACCGGTCGCGATGGGAGGAGGCATGCTGGGGTAGCTATGTCGCTTAGTTAGCTACTGAACATTCAGTCACCTAACTTTCCCTAGGCGAGACATCTTAAGCCTCTTCGATGAATTTTTGCCTTATATTATTTTATTCTGTCATAGTGTACGTTTTAGATGTATGTGTACATTTACACCATATTTTGTCATTAGAGAGCTATGCTCCGTTCTGCTCTATGGCTGTGAGGAAGTCGTTCCTGACGGTGGACCAGCAGTTGGCCACCGCCCCTGGCCCCTCCCACTACACTCCAGATCTGGAGGACCACGTGAAGGGAGGTGACTCTCTCAAGAGCAAGGTCTGTGCCCTTTATAACATACCTGTGGATTCAGATAGTATTCCCCACACTCTACGTACAATCTCCTTGTAGATTCAAGTCACATTACATACACATATGTATGTAGAATGAAATGGTGCTTTCCTCATCTGCAAAGTCTGTTGTGTTTTCATGTCACTAAGAGTTTTATTGGGACTATATTTTACTCCGTGTACTGCAAGTACAACATAGTCCATAGCTTTTCAGACCCACCAATAAGTCTATCTCTGTTATGTACACATTTTACAAAGCATAATTATGTTGCATGCTAAAGAGCAAACGAAGGACACATTATAGATATACGTAATTTGGATATCTACATGTACATATGTAACCTCGGGTCTGAGAGCTATTGCAGTGACATTCCTTCCTCTCCCCCTTTCTTCTGTCGTACTCTCTCCCTCTCCTCCCCTCTACCCGTCAGGCTGAGAGGTTCCGGGACAGGTTGTCGAGGACCCCAGGTCCAGGGACCTACTCTGTCTCCAAGAGATCTGACTGGCTGAGGAAGACATACCCTCCACCCTCACCTGGCGACCAGGTGTGTAGGTACTGTATAGTACCTCTGATCAAGGGACACTATGATCCTACTACACATATACATGCTGAATCCCAGTTCATCTAGCTATTCTGGGTGTAGTTGACTTGTTTGTTGTGCCTTTGCCTTTCTACATCGTAGTTTACACATGCATTGTTTCTGGCATGTATGTACATGCTTAAAATTTTTTCGTGTGTCAGTTGTTCCAGAGTACTGGGATGATCAAGTCAGGGAGACTGCTGTTCACACGTAAGCAGACGGCTCCCTCCATCCCTACTCCCGGCCAGAGCTACGGATACGATGAGACCGGTGACGGGGATTTAACCCCTCAGCCACTGCCTCCCCAGGACTCTACTATGGGACCAGCCTACTACAATGTCTCCCATGTATACAAACATACAGATATTTCCACACACCAGTGTTTTTGCCATGCAACCTTGTTGTTGTTGTTGATATAATAGCCTCATGCTACAGCTGTTATAGACTAATTGGTGCTCGAGTTTGTACGTGTATATTGTCTGGCCTTTGTTGCTTTTTCTCTTGCCTTTGTACGTAGAGGCGTGTGCATTACACCCGTGTGTGTTATGTGGCAATAAGTGTGACTAATGATTTCATCTTCCTAGGTATTGCACGCCTAGTTGGCATCGATATGGCAATAGTTGAACCCGGCAATTTCATGACGTACTACATATGTAGTTGTGAATGTGTCCAGAACTGGCTAGTCTGATCCGTGACATACGTGTACATACCATACACAAATATAACACAGCATTCTACTACACTACATGTATGTTGATTGATGTGGTGCAGGATGACACAGTCACTACCAAGAAGTACAGAGGAGTTCACTTTGGGAATCATAATTCTCTCAGAACTCAGTTCAAAGGTACAATAGATCCATGTTAGGGTATACAACGACATACAGTAAAACACTGTACTCTTCCATTTTTGGGTAAACACTTCTACCTATGACCGTTCATACACTTTTGTTCATACACCTTACCACTCTGTCCAACTGTAAATACACATACCCAATAAAGTCTTTCTCAACGTTTGGCTTTGTGTTGTATTGTGTTGAAGATTTGAATCCCTACCTGCTGTGAGTTGCCCTGGTACATGTAGCTCAGTTGGTATATAGAGCGCTCGCCTAGACTGCAGAGTGTCGTGGGTTTCAATCCCACCTAGAGCAGCTCTTACTTTTTCCTTGAAAAGAAAGAGCTTTCCTGGGTGTACAGTTGACCTGTTTGCCTTTGCCTACCTTTGCCTACTCAGGCACCTTGACACATGTATTACTGTACTACGTATCTCAGGGAGAGAAGGTCCAGGGCCAGGTGATTACCACCAGCCAACTGAAGACGGTGATGTCTCTCCTCCTCCTTCTCATCCTCCTCCACGAACTAAAGCAACTTCCTCAAAGAGCGTACGTGTACATTGTTTATTGACCTCACATTTTACACATGTATACACTTGCTTGCATAAATCTGTACATACGTAGCTTGCCGCACATTATATAAATCTTATAAGTACATACATATGTATGTAGCTAAAGTGAAAGAGTTGAGTGGGAAAGTTTTGTCTGAACTTTGTTGTAAACTTTTAAATCAATGAAACTTGTGTAAAGACAACCTAACTTGTGTATGTGACTAATTCCCCAAAACTTTACCCATTATCTACGGCATAATCACGAAAATTTTATCCCTTTAATAAACTGTGGCGTTTTTGCACTGTTTCTTTATTCATCAGTTGCCTCGATATCACATGATCATCACAAGACAAGAAGAGAAAAAAGTGAGCCTATCTGTACTCACCCCAAGTATACATACAGTGCTACATCACACCACCAATTTACTTAGTTTTTCTTTCAACAAGTAGCGAAATTATCAGTGTTACCCTGTACTGTAGTGTGCACTTTTCATACTTATAAATGTACAACGGGACCCAAACTCATTCAAAAAAGGTCTAAATAGTCCGACAAAATATTTTCTTGTTCCTAGTAGCATTCAAGCCAGTAAGTTTAAGATCCTGGAGTTTGTGCGTGGGCGATTGTTCCTTTCCCTAATTGTAGTCGAGAGCCTCTTTATTATTTATCCGCTTGCTGTGTCTGTTGAAACTCGTGTGATTCATGTACAGGCTGTGCCAGGACCTGGAAGGTACGATATAAGGTCTCAATTCAGGACGGACCCATCGGCGGATGGGACGGGACAGAATGAGGATGAGAGGGAAGAAGAGACAGAGGACGCACCATTTGGCTCGCGAGAAAAGGTGTCGTGTTTGAAACAATTCACATACATACAGTACATGTACACTTATTGCCTGTTCATTGGTATGCATCAAGGGAATGCAAGCACTACAGTAGTTCAATTACTTAAGGTGGCTAAGGTTTTTTAATATAGTTTTCCATGACACCTGCCTTCTATCCTACAGTGTATGGCACTTTTAGAGTTTTTTTTGCTTCCTTGCCTCTTTATATGTATTCCTTCTCACTCTTCTGCTATACACCTCAATTTTCCTCTCCCTGCCTCCCCTTTTCTCTCCCTCTACCTCTTCTCTTCTGTCTCTCTCTCTCTCTCTCTCCTTCTTTCCCCTCCCCCCCCCCTCTCCATCAGAGGTTCATAGACCCCAAGCACCACTCCCCGTCCTGCACCACCTACCAGGAGCCTCGCTCTGCGTTCTCTCGGGGAAGACTGGGACACGGGAAGGCTCCGTTTGGACAGACCTCACTTCGCTTCAGGAGAAACAGAAGAGACAGGGAAATACCTGGTATTTACCACATAGCTACACATATGATGCGGTTAATTTTATTGTGAGGGTGTCCCTGTATTTTACAGTAATTGCAATAGGTGTCTATGTTCTATGTACATCATACATATTGTGTGTATTTGGTGTTGGTGACCTGCAGGTCCAGGGGATGTACAACAACAATCACATGACCTCGCTAGTTGTTGACCTCTCCCGGAGATCTCAGTTAGTCTCTAGTAGATACACGTTGTAGCTTACGTAGTATATTGTGTACAAGTAGTATGTATGTACGTAGTGTACTGTAAATAACAATACAGTGGACAATTATACTCACAGAGCACTGTTTGAATCTCCAGATGCCCCAAAGGATACTTGCTACAGAAGCTTTCTTTGTATGTAGTACTGTATACGTATATGAGTTTTTATGTATGTACATACAAGATAGCTTTGAGTTGAGCCAAACCTTTACTGCCCTGCAGGATTATAATTAAACGCAGGGAAGACAGGGTTCCCCCATGTAAAACCCCGAACTGTGTGTGTGCTGTATCTGCACATCGTATAATAGTGAATCTTCTGCTGACATGGCTGCAGGTTTCATGGGACATACAAGTGCCCGTTTGGTAGCACGTCGGTGAGGACTGCCCCTCTAATTAAGAAGGACGTCATCCTTGGCCCTGGCCCCGCCCACTACCAGCCGTCTGAGTCGCAGACTGTCGAGCCGGGAGACGGTGGGCGGAGTCAGCAGCCGCGGGAGACTAAACCCAGCTACACCTTTGCCTCCACCACCAGTCGCCTCTACTCTCCTCCCTCCATTGTCACTGTGAGAACATGCACAACCACCAGCACCTGCCCAGCTATAGTAACATGCAGTAGAGTCAGCATTCAAGGTTTAGTATAATTTCCTTACACCCTTTCGATACAAATATCTGCCACACCACGTTTTCCAGAGTGCAAGTAAGTCACATTTCAAAGAATTTGCCAGCAAAATTACACTGTACGTATATACTGCACGAGGGTGCTCAAAGTTACGCATTGTGTGCATGTAGTGTTTATATGTATGTACTACATGCCGTGTGTGTATGTAGAGCTATATTCAGCAATGACAATCAGTTTGCAAAATTCAAAGTGTATTAGTCTGTCTGCATTGTAAGCACGAGTTACCAGAAACAGGTGTGACTCGAACTCTGGGAAATGGTATTCAAAAAGAAACTTTCTCTCCCTGTCTATAGGACATTCCTCCTCCTGGTTCCTATGAGGTCTCAGAATCCTACTCAAGATCTCAAGGTCAGTCTCTCAACTCTCCCTCTGTATTAACACCCAGTATTACAAGGCCAACATTCACAGTACTGTTTTGCGTTAGACAAAAGTCTCGATCGCGCAACTATCTTCGTATGAACTTTGTATGACTGGTCCATGCAACAAGTAGCGTGCAACACGCAAAGCTTCTATTTTCAGGCAGCATTTTGCAATATGCGTCGCATTTGCATCATCCCTTTTCGTTTCACGCAAAGTTGTGCGGTGGTGTGTACATACAGTATGTATGTTGACCTCAGCTCCTCCTATACACCTCTTGTTACACTTTCCCCGATCAGCATCCATTGTCAAATAATGACTTTATACACATTACATAAATTTTGCCAGGAGCAGTACTCTTTCAACATTGACTGGCTGTAATCTCTCTGTATACATACAGATCGAGCTCCATCCAGGGTAACTAAGAGGTCAATGAGAGGGGCGTTCCTGTCATCATCGTCTCGTTCCGCACCTCCGCGAGACATCATGCTGGAGGAGCCTGACGTCATGAATCCAGGTGGGATCTTCTCACCCCACTGCCTCACACAATCTGCTGTGATTTCATACTGCGACACACATCTTTATATTGCCATGTACCCATTGAGCTATATTAATGTAGGCAATGTTGAATTAGTGCTATAATGTATTACACTGTGGCAGGTCCTGGTCAGTACGACTACCAGAATCCCCTGGGAAGAGGCAAGCCTGGCCTCCTGTGTCAGAGAGATCTCAGATTTAAACCCATCGGCAACAAAGTGCCTGGTCCTGGAGCTTACACTGTAAGTCAACTCTCATTATTGTCCAATACACTATCATAGATATGTTGCACTGTCGCTATAAGTTCAACACATGTTCTGCAATAGCACTGCTCTGTGAGTCCCTCTTACTATTATTGTTTTTTGTTTCTTTGGGTATCTCCTTAACAACTAGAAATTGATGTGTATAGTATTAGTGCCTAGTATTATAATCCCACATAAAATCACATGGACTTATTGAGGCTCTGTGTGTCCGTGGCTGGTTAAGTCCAACTTGTTCGTGAATTTGGAAACAAGATTTGCTGTATGATTTATCCCCAGCTGAGTAAGGGATACAAGGACACGGTTCTCCAGGGGACGTACAACGCCACCCTCGACAACCCCCTCACCTCCTCTTCCTCTTACCAACACGGTCCTGAGAGGACAACCAAGAAACAGACTCTAGTAGTTGAGACCTAGCATGCAACATTACCAACCTTCATGCCATTATTATTATATAATTATATATCAGCACTATCTCACGGGAGTTTAGAGCGACAGGATCACGTGACACTCGCTCCCGAGTGGGGGCCGTTTGCGTTCTGGAGTGAAAATTCAAAACCGTACTACATTTTCCATAATATTATATAACACAATCATTTGCAACATGGAATTTATAGCACAGGTGGTACTTTTGATACACCCACGCATTGTACTACAGAAAATGTCACCAAAACAGAAGAAAGTCTTTAGGAAATGAGGTTGATGTAGGTGGTGTCACTGTCCAGAAAGATTGAACAATATCTCCATAAGTGTGGGGAAGTTTGGCTGATCTTTTGGATCGTCAGACCAGCACCGCAGCAGCATGCTCCATCTGTGTCAATGCAGAAACATTATATACCTCCATTTTTGCCACATGACTTTATTATGGAAGTCTAATAAACCTCTGAAAACTGATCCGTCCCATGTCCCATCTCCTTTATGAGCAACTGGCAAAATTATTTGACGTATCGACAGACTAACAGACCATGCTCACTGCTGTAATGTTGTGTGAACACTCAAGCTGAATCGTGAACTTTCACTTATGCACGTGTACTGAGCTACACCCGGCAAATCTGCCTCAACGGCAATTCAGACCAGATCTTCCCTTGTTGCATAGAAACAAGGGCGGGCTATGGGAATTCTTCACTGTGTAAAATGCTTTATACTTACATTTCATCAGAACAGACAGCACTGCTTGGTCTCTCGAGTCTACGGCCAAGTTTTAGTTCCCGTGGAACATTCAGTGGATTGAGTCCAGGATAGGGAACAGCACCGCATGTGAACACCTCCCAGCATGTCACACCAAAAGACCACTGCATATAGAGGACAACAAACAGGTCTATAATTAGTGAACTGCACATAATTTGTATGCAACTCTTTTTGTAGGTTCATGCTTCTCCCAAGAATTGTTAAAGCCCCTGCGCGTGAGGCATAATCACAGGAAAACACATGGATACAGAAAGGTAGTAAAGTTGCTCACCACGTCAGTCTTGTGGGTGTAGATGTGATCCTCAATGCTCTCTGGAGCCATCCATTTGACTGGCACTTTCTCCGTCTTCCCAGAGGCAACTCGATAGTAACCCTCCGAACCTCTCTCTACGGCCATTCCAAAGTCTGACACTTTAATACGTCCACCTGCTCCAATCCTGAGATTGAGGTTCACAATTTTTCCACATTATGTCCCATAATCATCAGCATTCTTATGAGTCAGCATATTTAACCCTCGGCGCTCGTGCACAGCGAGGGTAACGGTAGTCGTTCTGTCTGTCTGTCTGTCTGTCTCGGTGTAGACGCTTATTCTGGCACTACAGGCTACGAGGCGGCCTGTTAGTGATACCAGCGGCTTCAGAACTACGCGAGCCTGAAAATTAAAAGGGCGATTTTCCTGAAACGACTGCGTTCGAGAGATATGCCGTGAAAACAAGCGAAAAAGCCAATATGCATAATCCCACTGGGCTTACTGCGACCTGATCCGCTCGCTCTGTGTACCTTGGGGGCTCAAGAAATCACAAGGAAGGTCGTGTATCGACTCACGCATGCTATCTACTACTGTAGCTAGCCCGTGTCAGACTCTCCGCGACCTACAAGCGACCACAGGTAAACGCATACTATAGCCCAGCCCATCAATTAGAAGTATCGCACATGCGCAGTTTGCCGAGGGTTTGCACTTTAGTCCTTTTCATTGTAATTGGTATCTATTGCAGAGTAAAGGGCTGTAAGAATGAGCCTGAAGGACAAGAACATGAAACTCTATGTGTCCAGCACACTGACTGAAGGTTTTAAGAAACAACTGTAACACCACTCCCCCTCACGCAAACAAACACACACATACGTACAACTGCACAAAATACACACACTGCAATTGCTAAATACTGCATGAATACATGACGAGGTAAAAGGCAAAGGCAAAGCAAACAAGTCAACGGCTCCCAGGAAAACAGAAAACTCCTTTTCCAAGGAAAAAGAAGAGCTGCCCTTGATCATGTACGCAAAGGTGTGTCATTTTTTCAAAGAACTATCCTACATAGGTGGGATTCGAACCCTCAACAGGCAAGTGCTATTCCAACTGAGCTATATACCAGGGCAACACAGAGCAATAAGATAGTGAGAAGACGGCATGTACGCAAAGGATGTGTAGAGTGGTGGAGGAAGTGGTGTCTCACCGGCTGCCTGGTAGAGCCACTTGGGCTCAAAGAAGAAGACAGGGTTTTGGTACAGTGGTGGGGGTGGAGAAGCTGTAGTACACAAGTTTTGTTATTTCCACACTATAATTATTATTAGGACTGTGTAATTCACCCTATGTACACAACTGGTTGTGAATCATGTTATGGGTGCAGTTGCTTTGTCTTTGCCTTTGCCTTGTACACTTCACCTCGTTGTTGACACATGTACAGTATTTTTGTGGAGACTGAGGTTTACAAAATCCAAGCTGTTGAAGCTGTGACGAATGGGATTTTCGTTTGTGTGGATACATATCTTTCTCTAACCTTTATTCAGCGGTGCTCTAATGTGAGTGTGTATGTATATATACATGCAAATTTACTCTGCCACACACTTTAAGAGAAGTATGAATTATGGGCCGGATAGGGGTAATCTCTAAGCCATGTATGTAGTTTTGCATATGTGTCGTTTGTAAATGCACGTTCGGTTGTGCCGAGTACACTTTACAACATCATTTTTAGCCCATGTACATACCTCGGTATGTTTGGCGTTTACATACCAGGATATTCATAACATCCATAAAGACCATATTTATCTCTGAGATTAGCAGAGCAGCGGAAGACTCCTCCAAACCCCACGTCTTCCCCAAATATGGCTGCATGGAGGAGAGATGGCAAACACGTGTTACTCAATCTGACTATGGACCACATCATGTACAGTGCAAGACACAATGTAAGGTACTGTATATGCTACTGGACAAAACCATCTAAAATACACATTCTTCTAGAGCACCTGGCTAATAAGAATGCTGTATAACTGGAAATACATACAATGCTACAGTGTACTACTAGCACCAACAGTATGGGCTATCGCATAATGGTGCGTTTGTTTCCAACAAATGGACACTTTTTGCGTTGTGCATGGGTGTC